CTTCATTTTGCATGCTGGTCTACCCTGACTGACACTTGAGGGTGACTGTCACCCAGAAGACAGGAGCCTTTGTGTCCAAGACAACAGGGTTCCTGTCACTGGTTATGACAGTGAATTTGGTGACTTTGTAATTTAGCTCAGTTTAAATCAAGATGCTAGGTTTGTCCACGCATTGCTACTTCTGGGTGTATTTCATTTCCTACTTCTTAATCCTTTAAAAAAATGTTTGAGTGTTACTTGGTTACGTTATTTATTCAAAACCTAAGTGTGGTCATCTTGTTTTCCCTATCCTACTCCCTCCACTTCTCACTTCCTAATCTTTTAATCAGAGAAGCTCAAGTCTAAAACACACCCAAGCAATAGCAGCAACAAAGCCCAGGAACTTCAACTGCCCTTTAAGGCAGTCCTGTTTGACACAATTATTTAATAGCCTACTAAACATCACACTGCGGCAGTGTGCCTGCTTCTAATGAAAAACTCCAACTGTGCCACCTCCAGCTAGCTATCCCTGCCCGTGCCTCCTGATCCCACACAGTCTGGAGTTGGCTGACTGGTGTAGCTAGCCTTATCTAAAATGTACAATTTTAAGAGTCTTTCAAACACTATTGTCCTGTAAGTTTTGCTCAAAAGCAGAGATTTATTACGGTCAGCCAATGAGAGGCAGCACCAACAGGCTTTCCTTGTAATGGTACCATTCAGCAAGCTCTTATAAAATATCTTGTTTTTTGCAACAATAATTTGCTGTGTATATAATTTTTGCTAAATATAAGCTGGTTCTTTCTTTATGGTCATGCACATTTAAGTAGTAACAACCAAATGTTGAGTAACACTGGCTTGGTTGTGCCTTTCAAATATTCTTAGTATCACTAATACGATAAGTTTCTAAGACTTTCCAATTCATCCCTCCCACCCCCAGTAACCTCATTATATACGAGTCTAGGGAAATGCTGGACACTATTTAAGAACTGGGATGCTGACTGCCATGATCCAACAGTCCTCACCACTGACAGTTGCTAGCACCATCATCTTCAACAGTATCACCTATCACTGAGACTGTGCCCTACCTTAAAATTTCATTTTAATATTTTAATGCAGTTAGTTGAAGGTAATACTACATTTTGTTGGAGAGGTGGCTCAGAGTTTAAGAGCACTGACTACTCTTCTAGAGGACTCAAGTTCACTTCCCAAGATTGCCGCTCCCAACTGTCCAGGAGACTGGCCTCGACAGGCACCAGGAATGAATGGGATACACAGACATACATGTAGGCAAAACACTCATATATACAAAAATAAATAAAATTTTGAAATATAATTTTCTACCTACACACACACAAAATATGATACTTCCTTTCAAGGGCTACAAATCAACTTTACTAGCTCTCTTAATTTTATTAACTACCTAGCACATACTCTGTGCTCACCAAATGCTTTAAATGAACAACCAATAAAGACTGCTTAATCACTTTAATCCCACACTTGGGAGGCAGAAGCAGGAGGATCTCTGAGTGTAAGGCCAGCCTAGTATACAGAGTGAGTTCCAGGACAGCCAGGACTACACACAGAAAAACCCTGTTCAAAAATAAATAAATAAATAAATAAATAAATAAAAATTAAAATTAGGAAAATAGAAAAAAAGATTGTTTAATTAGTAATTAAGCCAAAGGATAATGGTACAAAGTTACAGAAAAACAAAATATCTGCAAATTTGCAAACAAAACCAAAAATTTTGCATCACAATTTACCAAAACTACTATGCTACAAAAGAAAAAAAAAAGAAATAAAAAAGCTAAATATTATTTATATTAGAAACTTATCACAAAGAATTGATGTTATCAACTTCCCCGTGTCTAATAGCAAACAAAAGAAAAAGCCTTCCAGGACAAGTTACAAAGACAGGAAGTCCGTCTGTCTGACATATGCAGAAAGTTTGTCCATCTGACATATGAATGAGCTGCTCAGATCACTTGCTAAGTGCCCAGGAAGTGCTCCGATGCCCACCTGCCTCTACTCTGCTCTTGGAAGCTTTGTCTACTTTGTGACATCAGCTGAGCCCTGATTCTTGAAACAGCTTTCTGCTTTGTGAAAACTGTCCATCTTTAACTTTGAATTATAAACCCTTCCTTAAATGCTTTAGTTACCAAAATCTCCTCTTCGTCTCAGCACAATAATCCAAATACTATCAACTTACAGATATTTTCAAGTTAGTGATAAAATGCCATAACTTTCAAATTTCCAAAGGTAGACTTGAATCTACTGGTGGGTGGTCCTCTTTAGAAGAGGAAAGAAAAGAAACACAGGATTAAACCCAATAAAAGAAATTACAATTACACTTGGAAACACTTTTCTTACCACTGCTGTTTGGAATTACAACAAACCTGTTACACTGCATTCCACCATGTATTTTATGAGAAGGCAAATACTCCAGTGTAATAAAAAGAATGTCAAAGGCTTGATAATGGTCCACAAGAGGAGCCAATGTATAAGAATGTATAAAACAAGGCAACTTACTCTCTGCGACTCCGAGGCAAACCCACAACACCACCCAGGTTTCCCACCTCTCAACACAATACTCATCCTAGTCTGTTAACAGTATGTACACAGTGGGGAAGACACTCAGATACACCCAATGAAAAGGAAAGAAGCCTTAAGAATGCAACTCTTGTACTGTGAAAAACTAAACCTGCAGGAAAAAGGACACAGTATAGGTAGCAGCTATTTTGATGTATGAGGTAGAGGGAACCCCAACTGAGAAAATGCCTCAACCAGATTGTCTGTGGGCAAGTCTTGGGGGGGGAGGGTGTTGCATTTTATTGACTGATTACGGATGTGGGAGGGCTGACTATGGGCAGTGCCACCCCTGGGCTGGTGGTCTTGGATGCTTTTATGAAAGCAAGATGAGCAAGCCCTGTAGAGCAAGCCATTAAGCAGCACTCCTCCATGGTCTATGGATCAGAACCTCCCTCCTGCTTTTGAGCTCCTGCCTTGACATTCTTTCGTGATGGACTGTGATCAAGATGCGGCAAAGCTGAAAGGAACCCTTTTCTCCCCAGGTTTCATTTGGTCATGGTGTTTTATCACAGCAACAGAAAACTTAGACAGGGCTGGGTGTTGGTGATGCGTCCCTTTAATCTCAGCACTTAGGAGGCAGAGGTGGAGCTCTGTGAGTTGGAGACCAGCCTGGTCTACAGAGTGAGTGCCAGGATAGGCTCCAAAGCTACACAGAGAAACCATGTCTGGAAAAAACAAAAAAGGAAAGAAAGAAAGAAAGAAAGAAAGAAAGAAAGAAAGAAAGAAAGAAGGAAGGAAGGAAGGAAGGAAGGAAGGAAGGAAGGAAGGAAGGAAGGAAAACTTAGACACTATAATATTTAAAATGGGAGAGTTTTCGTCTAAAAAGGAGAAACAAACAAGAGGTAACCTCGGTTCCCCTAAGATTATAACGGAAGTGGGGAACACAAGCAGAGCAGGAAAGCTCTCTCCAATTCTGCCCAAAGCAAAGGCCAGGAAACTTAAACCATGCAATCTTCTCCAATAACATGACTAAAAAGCAAAACTCAACAGCAGTGGTGACAAAGCTAACCTTCTGAGAAGATTCTCTGGGGACACTGGCTCCAAGAATACCTTATGGCCTTCAGAGCTGGCCATGAGCTGAGGCTGGCAAGTTGTGGAGACCTCCCTCTAGAATGCCACCTCCTCAACCCATGGACAAAGCCTGTCCCAGGAGTACTTCCAGACAGATGTGGATTTCTGGGTGACACTTCAAACAACACATCTGTATTTCAATACATTACCTCTGGAGTAAAAAAAATAATCTATATTCAAACATAGTGACATGAATTTAGTGTTTCAAACCACAAACACAGCAAAGCCATGGCACTCACCATGAGAGGAACAGAATATACACACATATACACAACACTAGAAAGAAATACTCCAATAATACAAAGTCAGCTGGTAATTCTACTAGAATCAAACACCCCCCTCCTGAAATCAACCATAAGGAAGAAATGAATAGTCCTATACCAAACTATATAATTGCTTTATGTGACAAACACTTGGGCATGGATCAGAGAAATGGCTCAGCAGTTAAGAGCACAGACTGCTATTACAGAGGACCCAAGTTCAGTTCCCAGCACCCACATTAGGCCACTCACAACTATGAGTATCTCCAGTGGTTTACTCTTTTGGACCACCTCTTCTGGGCTCTTCAGGCTTCTGAACACATGCATAAACACACACACACACACACACACACACACACACACACACAAACAAACACACACAAACACACACAAACACAGACACAAATATGCACACATTCGTACAATTGAAAACAAAATACATTTCTAAAAATATTGAAATTCATTGGAGGGTGTCCGACTTTTAAAAGATGGTATGTGTGCAGTGTGGTGGTGCACACCTTTAATCCCAGCACTTGGGCAGACTGATCTTTGAGAGTTTGAGACCATCTTGGTCTACACAATGAGTTCTAAGATAGCCAGAGCTACATAGTGAGACCATGCATCAAAAAGATAAAAATCAAAAAAGTAATAATGATGAATTAATTAACTAACTAAATTAAAAGAGGGTACATGTTGAGAACCTCTCAGGGACTCACCTATGTGAGAAGCCCCTACTGGGAGACTATATAAACTTTCCTAAAGCATATTTCTTGCATTGTGCTCTGTAAACCATACATAAAGTTCAGTTACAAATCAGACACAGGACACCTAAGGGCCCAGCCCTTGAACCAGTAATAAAGCATTTTGCTATTCTAAGTTATGAATGTTACGCCTGTGAACATAGCAACTTTCTTTAGTCAGGCTTCCTAGCAATTTTAAAAGTATTAGAATTCTAAAAACTTTTCCAAAGATTATTCCAGCATTTATTCCCATTCTTTGGGGACTGGCTCTCAGATCCTACTGTAATTTCTTCCCTTCCTGATTCACCGGGATGTGGATACACTAGTATCAGATGATTGGCATTGCAGATAAAGGACTTACTCAGGAAGACTTGCAAAAGTTAAGTTGTTCTCTAGTCACCAGGAAAAGCAGGAGTTCATAGTTCAGCGAGAAAGAGGCCCACAGCATACTCCTTGGAGACAGGTCCTTGCTGTGCAGGTTCGAAGTCAGGTGCTCCTGCCAGGCCCACCATTTGGCCTACTAGTGTGGACACAGGAGGCCCTAGTAATCCTGTGGCTGTTCCTGCTCACCAAGGCGTTCCCAGAAACCACCATGTTCCTGGCGAGCCCTGTAAACAAGGCTGAGACTAGATGCTGGTCACCCCACCCCCACCCCCCCCCCCCCCCTTAAAATACTTTTTCTTTAAGGAGTTTTTGAAATCCTACTTAGTAGAAACATGACCTACTTATGAGAAAAACTGGGTTGGCCTCATATCTACGCACTTAAAGGGCCCTGCGGCCTGCTCTCGGACTGACATGAATAAAGCCTCAAGAGAGACAGGAGGAGTGGGGCAAAGTCCCAGAAGTGGAACTAAAGTGCAAAGAAGAGGAAGGCAGGGAGGGCCTGGAACATTCTTGACTGACTTATGGAGCATATTCCCACAAAAATATTCCCAAAGAGCTCAGGAAGTCTTCCCAGTGACACTGTTCCCCTAAAGTTCCCTGGCTACTACTATGTGATCAATAAGACGTGGACACCAAAAAGGCATCCATAGGCAATGAGCTCTCACATCTTAAAGGGAACCTGGTCAGAGGTTTCTTCATGATCCACTACTTGCACTCTACTTTGCTGACTGATCCACCCAGGAATCAGCAAAGACCAATGGCATTCACACTGCACCTGCCAATCAAGAGTCAGAAGCCCTGGCACAAAGCAGGACTGTAACTCATTAGCAGCAACGAGACCTCGGCCAAGCAAACAGGGGGACATTCTTCCATCAACCTCCCCTCACTCACTGCCTCCCCCTCATCTGCAAGAACATGCTCGCCCGCTCGCTCGATTGCTTGCTCTCTCTTCCTTTCTTCCTGCTCCCACAAAATTTTTTATCAGTGAGGACATCACACCATAAAATGTCTGGGACTTCTGCCCAAGTCTGCTGATTCAATGGTTAACCACCAAACACCTGACTCCCGAAACAGGAAAGGAACTGCCCGTCGCCCCCAAGATCGGGGATACAGCATTCCTTGCTCACTCCCAAGTAGTAGGTGCACAAATAGGAGTAGACTCATGCACAATGTCATGCACAATGACAATTACAGTTTAGAAATAAAATATCAAGGAGAAATTATGTGTGCTAGGGAAGAAACTCATTTTCAAGAAATAAGACTTTAACAAAACGGACTAAAGTACTTCAAAAAAAAAATAATAATGACCATCAGGTTTATGTGCTAAACCAAGTTTACCAGGATCACAACGAATGCAAATGTTAATCCAGACAACACTGGTGAAAGAGGTAAATTCGAGCAGAAAAAAGAATGGGTTGAGTGACTGCCAGGTGACAAGGCACATGGGTAGAGACAAGAGGAAGGAAAGGAGTGGTGGAGACTTGAGTAGAGGCACCTCAGAGGCCACAGCTCCCCTGCAGTTTATGACTGTGCTTAGGGGCTGAGACAGAAATCTATCAGACTCTACAACAGTGGTATTCAACCTTCCTGGTGCTTCCACCCTTTAATACAGTCCCTCCTCATGTCTTGGTAACCCTCAACCATAGAATTAGTTCATTGCAACTTTGTAACTGTAACTTTGCTACTGTTACAAATCATAATATAAATATCTAATATGCAGGACATCTGATAGGCAACCCCTGTGGGGGAGTCACCCACAGCCTGAGAATCACTGCTCTACAGTCCTCTCTCCTAAATTCCTGGCCCAGGAAAAAAAAAAACAAAAAACAAAAAACTTCCTAGCTCTGCCTCCCTGCTCTGTGATTGGCCACGCATGAGTGCAGCAGGTGACCTAACAGGGTCAAAAAGAAAAGATGAACACAGGGGAAAGGAAACACTTAACAAGAAAATAAAAATAAAGTGATCACCCTAGGAAGAAAAACACTTCAGCAAGCTAGAATGGGTGGGTGTACCAGCAGCCCCTGGCCACTCTGCTCTCTGTCACCCAGCAGCCCCTGGAGGCCAGAGCGCCCAGGCACAGGCCTAAGAATGACACCACCAGCAGTCAACACAGGTCTCAAGGAGGGTCTTTCTGACAGTTTTTTACAAGGTCTGGGGCCTCTTGGGAAAGCCTCCTTCTGGGCAGAGAAGGCTATTTAAGAAGGGCTGAGGCAGGGAGAAGGACCTGTGGGTGAATCACTCTCCTGAACAAGGAAAGTCCCCTTGAGAAGCAGATGAAACACTGAGCCTGAGGGGGAAAAAAAAAAAAAACAGTGGAGAGACAACTGGAAAAATAAAATATGGCTACAGGGAGGCTAAGCTAAGGAGAGCAGTGCAGGGGAGTAGAGACCACTGGAATTCACCGATGTTTTTTTGTTTGTTTGTTTGTTTGTTTGTTTTTTCTTCTGACACTCCTTTGTTTACTGAGAACCAGGGGTCCTCACCATTGCAGATCCACAGACCAGCATGAAGAGGCCTTCCATCCTGCTTCAGTGGATGCCTGATATACAGTCCTCTGGGGCCTTACATGCTGTTGATACCTTTTAAGACACTCCACATGTGAATGGATACCTTTACTTCATGGTATGGAGCCTATGTGTAAAAAGTTGAATTTGACTTAAACACACAAGGAAGCTTCTTCTGAAGTAACTGACAGACAAGGAGATGACTGAGTGGAAAGGTGAGTCCTAGCAACACCAGGGGGGCAGGAGGCTGAACGAAGGAAAGCAGGGATCTGGTTGGCTGAGAGGCCACTGTTTGAACCTTCCTGTGAGGAAAGGCAGATAGATACAACAAAGCCACAAACTTTTACAACACCAAATGACCTCTCAAATCAGGCATCTAAAAACACCTGGACAACTTCCTTCTAACTCATTCCGACTGGCTCTAAACCATTCTGGGGCAGCAGTTATCAGACAGTTTCGACAACTTTGCCAAGTGGTGTGTCCTGTTGACCCAAGACACTGTGGCTTACTCCCACACTTCCCTCATTCTAGTGGCTGAGCCTTTCCATTAAAACTGTTTTCCAAATCAGCCGTGGTGGTGGCGATGACAGTGGCAGCACTGGCAGTTTCCACTGTTTCATTTAGCCTAGGCTAGCCTCAAAACTCTGGTTTTATGTAGTGCTGGGTTCCAAACCCAGGGCTTCCTGCGTGCTATCTAGCCAGCAACCCAGAGGTATTTTGATAAAACAATCTTTCTATTGTTGACATGGAAGTGTCAAGAGACGGAAGTCACTTGAATGAGTCACTGTACAGAAGAATTACTACATCCAACAGAGGCAAGCTAACCGGCTGTGGATCTCTGCTCAGAAGATGGGAACCCAGCAGTGGAGAAACACAACAGAGAAGCAAACGGCCCTTCCGTGGGCAGAGGTGCAATCGACAAGAACCTACAGTCATACACCAGCAATGCAGGGAGGTCTGGAGAACGCAAAACTTACTTGTTCATTCCTTTAGCAGATAATTATTGATGGACGACACATAGTAAAACTCAACGGAATGAACGTAGGAAAGCCTGCTAATATTTCTAAATATGTTTGCCACAAAAGAATCTACAATTACTATATTGATAACCAGTGCTTCCAATGGAAGTTCTTTTTTTTTTTTAAGTGACATTAACAAACTTATCATTTCCTAGGCCCTCCTCTATGTATCTAGGCTAAGAGAGTAACCCTCCATGGGTGTGTGTATGCATATACATCCCTGACTAGTGCTATCAAAATACTAAGTGAAGGATCTGAGAATGTAGCTCAGTGGTGGGGTGCTTGCACAAGATCCTGTGTTTGATTCTCCAGTGTCAAAAAAATAATAAGATGAAGTGAAATTTATTAAGCGGAAACTGAAAAAAGTACCAATTATATGTGTGTTCTAAGGGCAAAGTGAAAGAGGCCATTCCAGGATGCCCCAAATACTCCCACATCCTACATCACCACTACTTGTAACTGTGTCTATGGCATGTATCACCCAATTCGGATCTTACTCAGTATGAACTGTGGCATCTCCACAGTAAAAGAACAAAGAGCTGGCATTTGCCATGCTCTGAGGATCAGCATAAAGAATCCGGGCTGGGAGTATATAGATGACAAGCCATCTGTTCTGATCATTTACGATGTGATCGCTCCAGTCTCCTTCCAAACTGTGCAACATCTCTATGGCAACACCATCACTTCTTTATCTGGGGGCCCAACTGTATCTTCTCCTTCACAAAGCAAGCGTGGCCTCATAGATGGCAGTTCCCATGTGCTCCAGGTACACTGACAGAAGGAGTCCACAAATTGCTCTTATCACATTGTACTCAGTACTGACTCTGGTCCCTGCTAGAGTGTGCGTATGTCTGTACCTAAAGAGTATATACACCAGCTAGAGCCTTGGTCCTCAGTGTGGTCATACTGAGAAGGGGTAGATCTTTAAGAGGTGGGGCCTAATGAGAAATCCCCAGGTCACTGGGAGTACTGCCTTCAGGAGGGATTCAAGTAGTTCTCCTGAGAGCCTGAGTTAGTTCTCATGAGAGAAGTAGCTATGGAGAAGGAGCCTGAACCCTGAATCACCTTGTCTTCTTGTCTTACAGGGGGATTTCCACTGCCTGCATGTACTCTCATCATCATGTATCTGCCAAAATGTGGACAGTTAGGGGCCCTGTCCAGAGCCTGGGGCTGGGATTTTCAGTCTCCAAAACTGAGGTAAGTAGACACATTTTCCTCAGATGTTTCTTTATTATAACATAACTGGACAGACATATCCCTAGGGCCCACAACTAAGCTAAGACATAGCTTAGAGGACCTGTCTACATGTGCATTACATGTGTCTACATCTGGATTACATATTCCAGGGCTCTATCCTAGAACTAGATGGAGAGATCCTGTGTCTTAAAGTCTAGAAACTGCACTGGTCTGGGCTAAGGAAACATGGGTATAAATCAGGAGTTGCTCTACCCTTCTCTGGGAGGACAGTGGGATCAGAGCTCCCAGCAGTTCACACTCACAACTGAAGAATCAGAGACGAAGTCAGCTGTACACCAGTGCCATGCCAAGACTAATGGACCACAAGAAGCATGCACAGGACAGACAAATGCAGCTTCCCAAAGGCAACAAAGCTCATCAGGAAAGCAAACCACAAAGAGGGAGGGGCCAGAAGGCACAAGCAAGAAGTACTGGACACAGGGCAGGACATGCTGACAGGGCAACAAGTT